TCCTCAAGTGTGGGCGCCCGTTCATGGGGGGGCACCAGGCAAGAACGTGGAGATAGCTGAGGACAAACCATTTTCCCTCTGGCAAAGCACTCCAGCTGCAGGCCTTTCTGAGGACAGATAGAGAGGGGTCACCTCCGACACAGAGCGGTGTTTCTCATTTGCATGGGTCCCAGGCAGGGCTTTTTGACCAAATTCCAGTCAAGAAATGAGAATCTCCTTCTTTCCTCAGTGTCCCCCACATCTCCCCCCCTTCCACTCAGAGTTTTCTACAGGATGTGCTATTTTCCACTGCCACCCAGAAAACAGTCGTGGTGCCCGTCCCTGTTAAGTGCTACCCGTTCGAACCTCAAGGTCCCTTGATGCGCCCATAAAATATCTAACACTCAGGACCCCTCTGGGACTCCAGGTCTGGTACACAGGCCGAGCACACATCATCCCAGGGGAGAGGCTGAGCCTAAAAAAGTTATCATTAAGGACACAGAAGCCACCGGAGCAGAGGAAAAAAAAATCATTGCAGACACTGAGTCTGTGGTTCAGAACCAAATTCATACTCCCGAGGGAATTCTCTGGGCATTGACTGGAGAGAATAATGGAAGAGAAATGCTTGGCATTTTGTGCCTTAGCCTGTCCTCTGTGCTGCCCAGGAGGAGGGCTGTGAGGGGGGTAGGCCTGCCGGGGGCTGCGTGCTGCGAGCCCTCTGCCTGACTCAGAGGCACAGAGAGTCTGCGAGGGCCGGTGGCCCACGGCGAAGGGGAAACGGTGGCTGTGAAGATGAGGGCTTCTTTGGGGAGCAGCAAATACAGACGCCACAGGACGGCGGGGCTTAGAGCCAGCCGAGACAGGAATGGGAGTGTGGACTTGTCCTGGGCAGAGGCCAGGTTGCTGAGCATCCAGTCTGAGCTTAGTGGGGATTCGAAACCAGAGATGGTCAAATGGCTGTCGGATGTTCTCCAGGAACCAGTCTCCATGCAGTGCTGGTATATGCAGATATGTGTAACTTCATTTCATCCTCCCAACAACCCTGGGAGAAAGACACCATGTCCTTTGGACCAGGAAATGGGAGCATGGGACGTTGAAGAAATTTGCCCCAAACGCACATATCCCAAGTTGCTGTCAAACCCGAGTGGGCAACTTCAGAAGCCATGCTCTGAATGAGCACTTCTTACCCACTAATGGGCATCTAAATCCCCCGGGGGTCTTCTAGAATGCAGGCTCTGATTGGGAAGATCTGGGGGGGAGAGGGTAAACCCCCTCCCCGTGATGCCTTGCTGCTGGTGCCCACACCCGCCTGTGAGAGGCACATTCCCTGCTCTGTGCCACACCCATTACAGGAAGTCCTAACCCAGCCATTAGTTCACAGACCTCCTCCTCCTCCTCTTCCTCTTCCTCCTCCTTATCATCACCATCATCAGCCACATATGGAGCTTGCTATGTGAGAAGCACTACTTTACTCTTGTTAAACACATGATCTCATTAAAGCCTCATCAGCCTCATGATGACACTATGAGCTCGGTGGTATTATTCCCATTTTACAGAAGACAAAACAGAGGCTTAGAAAGGTTAAGTTGGGGGCGCCTGGGTGGCTCAGTTGGTTGAGCGACTGCCTTCGGCTCGGGTCATGATCCTGGAGTCCCAGGATCGAGTCCCGCATCGGGCTCCCTGCTCAGCGGGGAGTCTGCTTCCCCCTCTGACCCTCCCCCGTCTCATGTGCTCTCTCTCTCATTCTCTCTCTCTCAAATAAATAAATAAAATCTTTTTTTTTTTAAAAAAAGGAAAGGTTAAGTTGGTTATCCCAAATCACACAGGAAGTGGCTGTGCCTGGATGCAGGGTCAAAGTCCTGGCTCTTAACAAGTTCCACAGAACAAAGCATTCAAATAAAACAGGCAAGACACAAAGGGACCTTATGCTAGGAGTCTCAGTTACTATTATTTTTCTTTCTCTTTTTAAAAACATTGAGATAAAAATAGACATAAAACATTAGTCTCAGGTGTACAACATAACAATTCAATATTAGTATATGAAATGGTCACCAAAATAAGTCTAGTTAACATCCATCACCACATAGAGTTCTAATATTTTCTTTTGATGGGAATTTTTAAGATTTACTTTCTTAGCAGTTTTCATATACACAGTCGAGTATTAACTGTGGTCCCCACACTGTACACTACATCCCCATGACTTATTTAATAACTGGAAGTTTGTGCCTCTGACCGCCTTCACCCACTTTGCCCACCTCCCCCCCATCCCCTACCCCTGACAACCCCCAATCTGTTCTCTGTATCTCTGGGTTCCCCAGTTGTTCTTGACTAGGAGATAGGAAAGGTTCAGATGGGGAGAGTGGGAGGTTTCTACATTCTCTTTCTGGCCAGGGACGAAGTGCTACAGGTGAGCCTGAAATGCCCTTCCCACCCGGTGGCCAGGGTCTTGCTTTATACATGCAAACAAATGACTTCTTTGGAGCCAGAAAAAAAAAAAAAAAAACATAACACAACACAGGCCTTGGAGGCTGAAAAACTCTCCTCTTTAGGGTGCAAGTTGGGGAGTGAGGGAAAGAACACAAGTTATCTAGAGCTGGGATCAAACGTCTCCCTCCTTTTGCCTTCCCTCCTGCGTGGTCGGTTCTTCTCTTCCCCCAGACACCACAGCAAGAGAGCCAACAACCCTTGTAATTCGCATCTCAGCAAGTACAAACACACTTGATTTCCTTACATGCCTATAATTCCTTCTTAAATCACATAAAGCTATTTGCCTTTATAAATCTCCCCAGCAGTGAGCTCCCCAGGATAATTGTGTGTAATATATATTTATAGTTTTATTTCACAAGCCTGACTCTGACCGAAAAATTGACCTAGTTAAGCCCACTCCTCAATAATAATTTTTCCATTCTGTGTAAGTCTACAGCATTTATGTCTTGACCGTCCTTTGCATTTCAGTTCTTTAGTACCAGCAGCCATGCAATGGGAGGCTTTTGGCAAGTCTCCAAAGAGCTGCCTTTGAGCCACAGCTGTGCCCCTTGCTGGCTTTGTGAGCTTGGGCAAGTTTCCAAACTCTCTGAGCCTCGATTTCCTCATCCATAAAATGGGAATGGTAACATCTGTCATGAGGTCATTGTAAAGATTACGTGAGGGTGCCTGGAATAAGGCAGATGATGAATGAAAGTAGAATCTTCTTTGCCAGCCGTGGGAAATAATAACGAGGACGTGTCTGGATTCTTCTCTATACCACTCATGATTTTATGGCATATCCTCCCTCTGAACAACTAGCCATCATTTTTGTAAATTGCTAATTGCCAAATCAGCCTGCGGCTCTAGGTGGGGATGGGTTGCACTTAGACTCAGTTCCCTCCTGCATCATTTCAATTTTTTGTTGTTGTTGTTTAGCTTAATCTTTGTGAATGTCTCCATCTCTCTGTAGAGGGCTTTACGCCAGCTGGTGTGTTCCTGCTATGTTTAATTCACCCCCATTAACCTGCTTGGTCAGCATATCTTTCCATCTCCTTGCTGGGCTTCTAGGAGTGCATCTGTCTGGAAAAAGCATTTATTATATTTACTTTAACTGGCCTCATTTTGCAAGGCGATCTGGGAGGAAAGCAACTTTGATGATACTGCCCTGTTTACTATGTGCACTCTGTGCTATGTGTCCCTCGTCTACTAAGATGGTAAATGCTTTTGCAGGAAGCCAAGACACAAGTTAAACAGTGTCTCTGTGAGCACACTCGCGGCCCCTGGGCAGCTGCTTTGCACTGTCTCCTTCACCTGGAAACCATGACCCACATTTCAGTGAAGTCCAGCAGGCAGGTTTTCCTGGATGGGCGTGTGTTCTAAGGGCCGGGGAGGAGCATTGGCTGGGGCCCACATCCGCATGGTGACAGAGAGTGCTCCCCAGCCATGTGGCATGGTGACCTAGGGTCTTGACTTCGTCTGTGCATCACCACTCACTCTTTGATTCCAGCAGAGCCACCTGACCTATCTCTGCCTGTGACCTTGCCCCGCTCCCCCCGCTCTCCACGCAGCAGCTGCATACATGGATCATTATATCACCTTCCTTAAAATCCCTCAATGACTCCCCATTGCCCTCAAGAATAAACTCAAACTCTTTATGGGGTGTATAGGCATGAGCAGGTTCTCACCCTATCTTGTAGTCTATGCCCCCATAGTGAATGTTTGCACTTTCTTTCATCCATCCCTCCAACCATCCATCCATCCATCCATCCATCACTTATGTAGGACTTAGTGTAAACACTTCTCTGGACACTGGGGAGACAATAATGAGCAAAACTAAATATGGTCCCATTCACAGAGCTTTAGATCTAGGGTGGACACTGACAATGGAATAATCATACCCACAAGCGTACAGTGATAACTTGAGTGGTGCTGTGAGGACAGTGGTCACCAGAGAGATGAGGCAGCAGGACAGGATGACCTGACTTCACCTGGGGACTGCATAGGCTCCCCAGGAAGTGACAAGTGAACCAGGGAAGCAGGCATAACTCAGTGAAGGGGGTGGTTGGAGAGCCCGACGGCAGCGGGAACGGTGTGCGCCAAGCCCCATGACAGCAGGGAAAAGGTGTTTGAGGAACTGTCCGATGCAGACCTGTGGTCCCGGAGCAGGGGGAGCACCAGGGGATGTGGGAGGGAGGGGAGACCAGGGGATGCAGCCGCACTAGGGTTGGGGGTTATCTCAGGAGCAATGGGAAATCCCTGCAATGTGTGCAGAATGGGACAGCATCATTGAAGAGATCACTGAGGGTGTGAAGAGGACATTGTGGGGGTTAGGAGAGAATATTCGGAGGCTTTTTGCAGTGGTGAAGATGAGACTTAGTAGTAGTTTAGGCCAGGTGACAGCAGACAATGGAGAGCAGTAGACATGTGACAGGTACTTGAGAGATTGAATGAGTGGGATCTGGCGATGGCTGGATGGGGGTTGGGTGGACTGGGGAGAGAGCTGCGAGAATGTGGACTCGGGAGCCGACGTGCCCCTGGAGCCAGGGTGTACTCACCTGTGAGGGTGGCTCTGGTGGTTGGACCGATGCTCTTGGGGACCAGCAGCTCGTGGTACTGCTCACCCGCCAGGGTGCTATACACAACCTTGTACTCCTGGACCTCTGCTTCGCTGTTGTCCCACTCGAGGTCAAGGCTGGTTGCTGTGTGCGAGCCCACCCGCAGGTTCTTGGGGGCGTCAATCTCTAAAAAGAGTTAGTCATCACCAAAATCACATGGGATAATGTGCATTTGTCGTGTGCCTTGAAGTTTAACAAGCTTTGGGTTGAGAGCCCACATCTCCTGACCCTCTGCCTCCTGTTTTGACTGAACCCCAGGGCTGCCCTTGAGCTTTTGCTCTGCCAGATCCATTGGTGGTTTGGAGACTTTTACGTGGGAGTTAGTTATCAACACGCTTTACACTTGCTCCATTTCCATTCAGGGAATGTTCTAGAATATTTCCTGAATGGATGTGGGGGTATCCTAGAAATTTAAAAATGAGCCAGTTATCATAAGCTTGAAACTAACTAAGGGAAACCCCAGCAAGAAAAAAAAAATCAGAGACAGCTTCTAAGTGATTATGATGGAATACGGTAATATCAAATTTGGCCACTAGGCTAAAAGAAGACAGTTGATTGCAAGATTCTGAAGTATCAGCTGTCTTCCCCTGGATTTACCTGCATAGACACTGTGGCAAGGTTTGTAGGAAATTAAGTAAACACATAGGGGATGTGATGTAGTGGGAAGAATATGGGCTTTGGGATCGGGTCTCAGGCTGAGCCCTAGCTCTGTCTCTTATTGTAATGGGACCATGATCAAGTTTTTGGTCAAGTGAGGTGTCACTGGGCCTTGATGGCCGCATCTGTAAAATGGCTTAGTAATAGTGACATTTCAGGTTATTGTACAGATAGGACAATGCATGTGAAGTGTGTGGCGTGATGCCTGGTGCATAAACAGAGGCCCAGCCTTGGGAGGACTCCCTGTTGCTTCTGAAGCTCATCCTGAGTTCCAACAACATGGCACCCCCTAATGCTTGCTCTCTGAAGCTCCGGAGATTCCTGTGCAAAGGAGAGACCACCAGCACGAGGTCTCTCCCATGATCCAGAGGGGCTGATTCTCTCTCCCTGGACTGGTCATGTCCTCAGGCTTCTTTTGGCAGAAACAACACAACTCGCAGGGGAAGAAGATGCAGCCATGAAAAACTGCTACTTAAAGAGTTTTTAATAAGTTTTGTCTTTGGGACTTGAATTTAACTTTGACGTGGACCAGCCATTTGTTCTGAGAAAACCTCCAGGAGACTTCTAATTTGCAAATGCCAGGCAAGTATACACCAATTGTTCTTGGGGAAGATGGGAACACTGTGAATCAATCTGAGTGCAACTGCTTCAGAGTGAGAAGTGTTCTGTTTAGTGATGCAAATTAGGTGAATCTTTTAGCAGATTTATGTCTCTGCAGCTTATTTTTCTGACAAATGTTTCTTTACTCAGTGTGGATTTAGCGTGCCGGATTCTGTGCTTTCTGGACGTGCTGTGTGGATGGAGAGAGGAGTCAAATGGAGAGAGGAGCTTGGATACCGGGGCAGGTGGGAAGAATGGGCTTGAGCTGGACCTTATGCCGCTCAATCTCATGCAGGAGCAGAGGCTGGGATAAGGTACCTGACCCGGTGTGGGGTGTGTGGCCTGAATGGAATTAGAGTAAAAAAGAAGTTAGGGTTAGCGTTTAGGTTGACTCTTGTACCCACCTACTGCTCTTCACAACTAAAAATTCTAGACTTTGGAAACTATGGTTTTTGTTTTCTAGAGTTTTTTGGCCTTAGGACCTGTGCACTGTGGATAGGGGCCAGTGTTGTCTCTGAAGGGACCAGACACTTTCCAGGTCCATGATGCCAAAAGAGGTCAATGCTGGGAATGAGGGCTTGGGAATGTTAGAGTAAGCAGTTAGTTAGGTTCTTACAGGATCCCTGGAGGCCAGCAAAGGGGAAGTCATGACCAATTACAAGAAAGTGAGAAGTCTGACCTGACCTGGCAGCACCGGAGAACAAAACCACAAGAAACTGGATCAAACCAGACAGGCCCAAGATGGCTGACAAAGTAGGCCAAAGTTCACATTATTCCTTTATTAGACTACATTACTAAATCTCCTCCCTAAGGTGCTGTGACAGGAAACCACCCTGCTTCCAAGAAATCCCTGCCCCCAGTAATGAATATTCCACTTCCTTGTTAACAACTGTCAATAAAACATGGAGACCCAAACCCCAGTGGACACGGCTCTCCCTTGAGCTTGCCTGCTCTCAAGTCTCCAGAGTGTACTTTTGCTTTAATCAACTTTCCTGCTTGTACTGCTCATTGCTGTGTTGTGTCTGTCCTTGAATTCTTTCTCATGGTTACACCAAGAGCCTCCAGTGACATCTTTCGGACAGGCTGGGTCACAGCCTCAGGGCCTGAGGTCTCCCCAGTCCACCTGGCAACAGGGAGAGGTCTTAGGAATGGGGTGGAGTGAAATGGTTTGCTCCCCTGGGTCTCTCTCTCTCTCTTTTTTAAAGATTTATTTATTTTAGAGAGAGAGCAGGAGCAGTGGGGGGTGGGGGGGCAGAGGCAGAGGGAGAAAGATTCCTCAAGCAGACTCCCCACTGAGCATGGAGCCTGACGTGGGGCTTGATCCCAGGACCCTGAGATCATGACCGGGCCGAAATCAAGAGTCTAATGTTTCACTGACTAAGCCACTCAGGCCCCTCCCCTGGGTCTTGAAGCCTGACCTCTAGGAGGGATGACTCAAGGTCACCCCTCCCTGTAGATAGGAGCTGGTCTGGTCTCTGTAACTCGTCAGCAAGCCAGGGGAAGACAAAGACCGATGTCCAGGGGGGCCCTGTGGAGGCGCTTGGGGCTGTGGATTCTGGTAATAGCCACATCTAGTCTCCAAAACATAAATTAGACCAAGCATTTCTCCTGCTTAAAATTTGCCTGTTGCTTTCTATTATAAACTCCCGATCATCCCCTGCACGGCTCTCTGCTTCTCAGACATTGTCTCACAAGACTTCTACCCTAATTCACTGTGCTCCAGTTGTACTGCCTTTTTTCTACTCCTGAAACACATCAAACTTACTCCCACCTCAGGGCCTTTGCACTGGCTGCTGCTTTTGCTGGCAGGCTCTTCCCTGGATCCTCACATGGCTTAGGTCACTTAGGTGTTGGTTAAAACTTCACTTCCTCAGTGAGGTGTTTCCGAATGATTTATTCCCATGCAGCGTTTCCTCTCCAGCATCCCTTTCACTTCTGAGCATAGCGCTCAGGATGGAAGGATCCTGTGTGTTTCTTTGCCTCTTCTCCACTGGAATGTAACTCACACGGACTAGACTCTTGTCTATCTTGTTTATTCTGGAGCCTCAGTGCCTAGAACAGTGCTTGGCACCTGCTGGGTGTTCAGTACGCACATGCGAAGTGCCTTGATGAAAATTGTCAGTTTTCGGTCTTGTCTGCCACCTCAAAGACTTTAGAAAAGTCTTGTTCAATATTTTGGCTGGGGGGGCTATGAGGATGCCTGGGGCGAGGTGGTGGTTCACTGGCAATCTTAGGCATTCCTTGGCTTATAGTAGAAGCACCCCAATCTCTGCTTTTTATCTTCACATGGCGTTCTCCCTGTGTACCTGCCTCTGTGTCCGAATTTCCCCTTGTTATAAGGACACACAGTCATTTTGAATTAGGGCCCACCCTAATGACCTCTTTAATTTGGTCATCTGCAAAGACCTTGTTTCCAAATAAGGTCATATCTACAGGGACTGAGGGTTAAGACTCCAGCATTTTTTTAGGGGACACAATTCAACTCATAACAGCATTCGAGAGAGGTCTGGGGCATTCAGGTTAGAGCAGGAGCCTCTGCTTTGGCCGAATGCTCCGGAGGCCGAGTTTGGTGCCCTGAGGGATGTGCTCAGAGAGAAGGCCTCCAATGGAGAGAAGAGTCCCAGGACTGCCTTCATGAAGGTTACTGAAGCCAGAGCCACCCGAGGGAAGGGAGGTTTTCGAGATTGACCTCCCGGGTTCCTTGGGCTGGCTTCTCTCTAACTGCTGGCCTGTCTCACCACTGTGCTCCCATCAGGGTGCTTTCCTTTTTGGGAGCAGCTCCAAGACCCAGGTAAATATCCCACTCACCATGCAGGGAACAAATCTCTGCTTTAATTGCCAGGGCAATTAGTGCGCTCCTAGTGTCGAAGACATCACCTGGAAAAGCACTCTGGCTAATTTGAATTTAAGCGGAGTTCTGAAATGACTGAGGGCCCTACTGCGAGGGTCCGGGCCCCTCCACCCTCATTCGGCTGGCAGCCCCCCCCCCCCAGCTCCTCTGCAAAGCTCCTGGCGTCTCCCCGCCCCCGCGCCCCTCCCCCGCTGAGCGGAGGCGAGCAGGTTGGAGGTGCAGACCAGGAGGCAGCCTCCTAACAGCTGCCGATCTGCCAGGCTACCGGAAACAGAATCACTCAGCAGTGAGCTGAAACTCAGGGGGAGCTCGGAGGAGGCAGAATGTAGTTGTCTCCATTGGAATTTTCCTGGGCCACCAGCCAATCCTGCTTCCATCTTGTCGACCTAAACATCAAGAATTTGCCTTTCATCATGCTGCACGAGAGCGCTCTTCTCCTTTTCTGCCTCTTCAAACTCCTTATCTGAGCAAAGCACAAAGAAACCTCTTTTCAAACAAAAACTGTCTTGAAATTCAGAACAGAATGCAGGACTTGTGGTCCCCAGGAGATCCCACCACCTGAGTGAGTTGGGTGGTGTTGTGGGGTGTGAGGGGTGGCGGGGGGAATGGCTGACCTGAACTCTCCACAAAGGGACATCGTGTCAGGTCATGCTCAGCCCCGAGCAATGTGGATTAAGTGGAGGAGAAGAAGGAAAGAGAAATGGGCAGAATTTAGTTCCTTTTTTTTTTTTCTTCAGATGCATAGTCAGTCACTGGTGATCATAAGATGTGTTCAGTAAACAATCTGACCCGCGATCCCCTGGGTAGGGTGGCGTCTGGCACAGGACCTGGGAGAGAACCTCTCTCTTCAAATCAAACCCTGCCGTCAGGGTCCAGACTTGCTGCCTTTTAGCAGGGAAGCTTTTTCCACTCTTGATTTGTCTTTCTGTGCAGAGGGAGCCCCATTATAAGACTCTGGCCTTTTCCTTACACTGTGGAAGGTGGACTTCCCTCAGTGGTGAGTTTTGTAGCAGGACCTAGGCACTTAGTTCTGCTCTTCTGTTCCCCTCTCTCATGGGAGCCAGCTCTCCCCAGGCATCAGGCCTCTGTGTGTTCCTCCATGGTGTAAATCCTAACCTGAGTAGTCCCCTAACTTCTGCTGCATGGCAAGACTGGCCCAGATCCACAGGGACCATCACCTTGCAAGCCCATCTGGCACTAACACTAAGCTATAGGCTCCAATCCAGGGGATATTTTGGCTTCCATCTGTCTTATTCTTTGCCTTCTTTGTCCATTGATTTTAAACACAGGTGGAAGATAATGGTGCTGTTGATGGAACCACCCCTCAGCCCCTCAGCTGGTTTATCCCATCCCGTAACAGCTCTTGGGCCACAGCACAAGTAGGATGCTTGAATTAACGATTCTCCTACTTTACCCCCTCAGAAGATGCTGGTTCTCAGATCCTACAGATGCTAGCAGTTTCCCTTGATCTCTGCACAACTTGGAGTTGGCAGAGACATTCCTTGCTGTGTGACCTCTCCAGGGTAGAGAAACCAAGACTGAGAATCTGGGTCAGGTGGAGACTCACTATCTGATCCCAGCCCCTGTTGACCCAGTGAGAGTGCTGGGAAGCCTGTGTTGGGATGGTGCCCCCATCTGGCCAGCCTGACAGGCTCCGAGAAAGTCAGGGAGCAGGTTACCGTGAGGTCCGGCCTTTCTTGACTGTGGGGGAAGCTCTTTCCAAGTTCTAACAGCCTTGGGAAGGGGGATGAGTGGTCATCACAGTGAGGCAGGTGGGACTTATCCTGCCTACCATCTGTGGGAGCAGGCCTCCCATGAGCCTTCTTGCTAGTGTTTGCAAAGGGCAGAGTGAGTCAGAGAGTCTCAGGCAGCAGGCCTGCTGCCAGCCGCATAATGTGGGCCTCGCACAACTCCTTGGGGCGCCACCATGCTGTGTAATCATTATGAATTTATAGAATTATTACAAGTGCCAGCAAATAGCAGTAAAGCACCTCGAGGGAGAGCACCTTTCCTGAACTCTCACAAAATTGCCACTTGGGCTAGCAATATGGACGTGTAAATGCCTTCAAGACGAACTTTTAATTTTACCAAGGAGACACCTGAGAGCTGTGGAGAAGAGCCTTAGATCAGGTGACAGATCTGGCTGGTAGCAGAGGCAGGATGGGCACCAAGTCCTATAACTTGGGTCTGTGATAAGGTGGGCATCCAAGCAATGTCACCTGTGCCCCCTCGACACCCCTCTTTTTTTAATTTTTTATTCTTATTTTTTTATATTTTTTAATTGTTATGTTAATCCCCATACATTACATCATTAGTTTTAGATGTAGTGTTCCATGATTGTTTGTGCGTTACACCCAGTGCTCCATGCAGAACGTGCCCTCCTCAATACCCATCACCAGGCTAACCCATCCTCCTACCCCCCTCCCCTCTAGGACCCTGTTTGTTTTTCAGAGTCCATCGTCTCTCATGGTTCGTCTACCCCTCCGATTTCCCCCCCTTCACTCTTCCCCTCCTGCTACCTTCTTCTTCTTTTTTTCTTAACATATATTGCATTATTTGTTTCAGAGGTACAGATCTGAGATTCACCAGTCTTGCACAATTCACAGCGCTTACCAGAGCACATACCCTCCCCAGTGTCTGTCACCCTCACCCCATCCCTTCCACCCCACCCCCCACTCCAGCAACCCTCAGTTCCTCGACACCCCTCTTGATGTGACATGGCACCCACTGGCTCAACCCTCTCTCCCCCTGGTGCCCCCCACCACCCCTGCCTACCTGTTGTGAACTGGGTGGTCGTGGACTGGCTCTCATTGGTCCCGCGGACGGCGCTGACCCACACCTCGTAGCGGGAGCCGGGCCGCAGGGCCTGCACTGAATATTGGCTCAGGGGAGGCTGTAGCCGGAAAGTGGTCTTCCCGCCTTCCCCGCCCACCAAGCCATACTTCAGGAGAATGAAATCGACTTTGGCTCGAGGTGGGGTCCACTCCACGAAGGCCACAGTGTCCGAGACATCTCGAACCAGGATCTGCGTGGGCCCATCAATGACTGAATAAAAAGGATCAAGTAGAAAAAAAGAGTTTTAGAAATGGGTGTTTGAAATCAACTCTCTCCTCTCCTCTTTAGGTTAACTTGGTCAGTCAAAGAGAGGATGGGTATTATTATCCCAATTTACACATGGGGAAAATGAGACACAGTAAACAAAATCGCTTTCCTGAGGACACACAGTTTGGCAACAGGGGAAGCGACATTAGAAGTCAGTTCCCCTGCATCTTGCTCTCAGCAGGCTCTGGTGTTTCAGCCCCGGCATTCTCCATTTGGGCAGGGGAAGAGCACCCACTGGCTTGAGAGGCCAGCAGGGCTTCTGTCTGGAGGTAATGGGCCAGAGAACTGTGAGACGTGCTTCTGGTGTGTGTGCTCTGCTCTTCTCTCACCTTCTCTGAGCCCTGATGAAAGACCTACAAGATTATCAGCCCCATGTAAACATCTCAGAATTCCAACTCGGTTGCCAAAGAGGGCATCGTGAATGTCCAAAAGATGTCCCTGCTCAGCCACACCTACAACTCAGTCAGTCCAGCTGCTAAGAGTACCACAACCCAGCAGATATTTGCATTGCAGATGTAAACATGCCTTCTGGGGAAACTTGCTCTTCTGGGAAAAAAAAAAAAAAAAAAAGGACCTTAGTTTAGGAAGAGCATCTTGTGGGCTATTTTGTCGCACCTGTTCTTGCACATTCTTGACCTAGAAGGGGCACTGTGTGTCCCTCCTGAGCCTTTGGCCTCTGCCACTGAGTGGCTGAGGGGAACATCATTGTGGGGTGGCATGACATAGAAAAGCTGAGTGGTGTCCCAGGGGGCCCAGCATCTATCGTTCCAGCACCCACTTGGTTCATAGTGAATTAGACAATGGTGAGGTTGCGGAAGGGGAGAGAATATAGAATGGAAATAGAAAAAGAAAGAACTTCGTGAGGAGAATAGAAAATGCTGTCCTCAACTCCTCATGGTAGGTCTGCACAGCCAATGTGTCCTTTCTGAATTACTCATTACCTTCTAAAAGAGTAGGCCCAGCTTCCATGTTTGCATTTATAATATGATTATGCCTCTCTGGCTAGAGCTGATTAATATTAATATTAATGTTCTTCAAGGATTTGGAATTGGAACCAGAGGCTCGGGTTCTCTGGTTAGATGGTTTGGGACCATGTAGAGCCAGGGCTGGTATGAGACCATTCTCTACCATATTCACACATAAATAGAAAACATCTGATCTGAAGAGAGAGAAAACAGGTGGGAGGGGAGTGAAGAAGGGAGAGGGTGATTTATCATAAATACATATTGGTCTTGGTCCCTTCCTGACACAAACCTCCTAAAACTTTGGAGTTTCCTAAGTGATGAGAGTACTAATGTCTTTTGTGACGTTAATGAGGTGAGGAGAGGGGCTGGTTGCCAGGGGTGTGAGCCATGTGATTAGAGGGCTGGAGCTTTCAGTCCCGCTTCTGACCTCTGGTCAAGATCAATCCTGCCTGTAATGAAGCCTCTGTAAAAACCCAGAAGGACTGGGTTCAGAGAGCTTCCAGGTTTGGGAACCAGAACGCTTCCACGTGCCACCATGATGGGCCCCCAAACTCCATAGAGACAGCAGCTCCTTTGTTCAGGGCTTTGCCCAATGTGTGTCTTCATCTGGTTGTTGATTAGTATCCTTTAATATCCTTTGTAGTAAATCAGTAATCTTGTGAGCAAATGGATTTCCTGAGTTCTGGGAACATCTCTAACAAATTAATCAAACCTGAAGAGGGGGTGGTGGGAACCTCTGATTTATAGCCATTTGGACAGAAACACAGGTAATGACCTGGATATGCAATTGGCATCTGAAGTGGAGGGCAGTCTTGTGGGACTGAGCCCTCAACCTGTGGAATATGTTCCTGTCTCTGGGTAGATAGTGTCAGAATTGAGTGGAATTGTAGGATACCCAGCTGGTGTCCAGAGAATTGCTTTGGGGGGCACCTCCCTCTTCAACACACACACACACACACACACACACACATATACTGGAATTGGGTGCAGAATTTTAGGAACACATATACATAGAGAAGGAGAAATGAGTGACTCTGTGGAGCTTCTAGAAAGACAGAGAGAGTAACTTGAACCTGGCTTTCCATTCTTCAGTTTTTTGTGACATCAGGATACATTCTGGTCCTAGGGTTTCAGGAGACACTCTATGTCCTTCCAGTAAATTCTCTTTTTTGCTTTAGCTAGTTAAAGAAATTTTTTCTTCCTTGTTACTAGAGAGTCTTGACTAAGACTTGTTTTTTAAACCAATCCACTCTGGACCACCTCCTACTGTCTCCAAAATGGAGCATCTTCTGCAGGATGAACTCAGTCTGACTTTGAGCTTCTCAGTCTTTCAGAGTTGGGCCTTTTCCTGGGCACCCCACCCTCTTTCTGGGTCTAGTCCAGTTTTGTTCTTTATTAAGCAGCTTAGGATTTTTGGCTTAGTACCAGCCAAAACGAAAATCACCAGGCCATTTTGGTGCCACCTGGTTTGGAGTTAAAATGAAGTTCTGTTTTTCATATTTGGGGTAATAGTATGATTTAACGGAACACATCCAGATGTTTTCAGCATGCTGAATTTAATGGCTTTCAGTAACTTGGGCCTTTTAAATTTAATTTAATTTAATAACAAAATGGGGGAAGTGGTCTTCTAGCTGCTATATAAGCATAAAGTCTGAAACACAGACACTCAGTACATGGGTGTGGAGTCAATGAAATGAATGAATATCCACTGTATCCATGAGAAAGAAGGGGAAGCATTTCAAAGAGTTCAAGCTTCTTGAGAAAAAAAAAGATGTCACAGAAACTCAAATGACATTGGAAGGCTTTTGTCCTTTAACTCTTTAAATCCCCAAGACCCTAATCATAATGGATTGTCCATATTAGAATATAATCATGCAGCATAGAGGGCCCTAGTTGCAGGAGGTCTAGTAATTTGCATTCCCTAAAGGCCTGCCTGGAAGAAGCCAGTCTGAGTGCCTTTGAGGACTCACAGCTTTGCAGGAGGGGGTTGGTGTCTGTCAGACCTCAGCAGAAGGAAATAATTAACCAATAATTTCCTGAAAACAGCAGACAGGGTTGGGAGACAACCTTCTTTTCTGTAGCCACCCTTGGATTCTGCCCTTCTGTTGGCCACTCAGTAGTGGTGTCCCCATTCTAGTCAAGTTGGTATCAGCTTGTTTTCAATTTAGGTCCTAATTTCTAAACAAACACAAGTTCTACTCAGAAAGGCAAATGGAATAAATATTTTTCTTTCCATTTCTTCATGACTCTGTACGCAATGCCAAAGTATTAACTAGGACATTTTTCTTAATTGAAAAAAGAATCTGCCTAGCTTTACCACAAATTTTTAAATCTGGAATTTGAATCTTAAGGAACTTCTAAACCAAAAAATATCGCAAATTTCGTAAAAATGTGCTTTGAGTAGAGGACTGAGGCAGGGTTAGACTATTTTCCCCAAATTTGGAGGAAAAACTTTCTACAGCTGCAGTGCTCTTCTCTGCCCTCTTCTGAACCATCTTCTTTGTCTAGGCTTTTGTTTTCCAGTCATGTTTTCTTAATATCAGTTCACAGGAATGATTTGGAGTCACTGAAACGTTTCATCCCAGAGGAGGAGCATCTACACATGTCATGAAATGTCAGGTTCCAGCATAACCTTGGGGAACGGAGTTCTGGAAAAACTCTAGTCACTGGCATCTGAAGAAATTCCTACAGAGAACTTTTAGGTTTTATGGCTATGGAGTTTCTTCTAAAACATATTTGCATTAGAACAGTAGTTTTAAAGTCTTTTTAGGACTCTTTTCCTTTAAAGAACAAAATCTTAAATGACCGTACAAAATATAAAACAGGTGGAGCTGCCTTGGTTGGAGGCTGTGTTGGGCATGGGTGTGGATGTAATCAGAGGCCTGAATCTCCCCTTCATCCTTGCCTTGAGCCACTGCCATGGAGCCCTAGTGTTCTAATGGAACATAATCTAATGCCACAATAGTTTCAAACCAATGTTTTCTAGGCTGAGCATAAGCCTCAGCACCTGATGTTATTTAGTTTGGATCCAATTAGCAAAGTATGAATCACTAATCCATAAACATGGTCTCGTTACATGGTGTTGTCGTTCTTTTTTCTGGCCAACTTGGCCTTTGTCCTAAACCCATAACTGGCTTTCTTAGGTGTCAATGTCAGTTTATGAAAAATAAAGCTGTACCAATATTCACCTATCTCAGTTTCTGTTAACTAAAAGGGAAAAGTGCTTAACTTTGGAGTCTCAGCTCCCCCATCAATAAAATGAGACAAAAAATGATACCAGATGCTATTTGTAACTTTTGAAATTGGGAGGGCACACACATATGCATCATAATTGCTAAATTACAGCATTGAAGTTGGCCATCCTTTGTTAGCTAAGAAAACAATAAGGCAAAAGATGATGCAGTTACTGAATTGAATCTAGAAACAACGATCTTGCATAAGATTAACTGTGGGGATGAACTAATAACCAATTTAAGTCATCACCTTGAACGGTGACTCAACTCACACATACTGGTTTTAAATAATTTGTTTCCACCTGCTCTCACTTCTTTTTTTTAATTTTTTAAAAAAGATTTTATTTATTTGACAGAAAGAGACAGTGAGAGAGGGAACACAAGCAGGGGGAGTGGGAGAGAGAGAAGCAGGCTTCCCGCTGAGCAGGGAGCCCAATGTGGGGCTCGATCCCAGGACCCTGGGATCATGACCTGAGCTGAAGGCAGACGCTTAATGACTGAGCCACGCAGGCACCCCCACCTGCTCTCACTTCTAAGTGTGTTCTGTAAGTATATGTATATACACTGGGTATTGAGCACTCTCTCATCAACATAGTGCTAATCACTTTGTGTGCTTTTTCTAATTTAATCCTCATGTCAACTCAAAGAAGGAGGTATTTTCGTTCACCACTGGAAAATGATGGCAAGTTTGGGAAGGGTTGGATGACTTTTGCTAAATCTCACAATAGATAAGAGTTAGTTCTTGCTCAAGAACTTGGTTCCTGAGCTCAAGATACTAGGGGCTGACAAATGAAGCCTCTTAATGAATAAGCTCAGAAGAAATATGCTGGAAATCTTAACAAAGAATTTTCCCTGTATAATACTCTCCCAGATTTCTGTGCTTGCAAGGATTAGCAATAGGGGAGATGTTCAGCTAAGCATCTGGTAGAGTAGCTCCATCTCCAGGTATCCAAATCATTTTCAGCTCTGGGAGAAAACCCAGCACCCTTTGTCTCTCTACTTCTTGGGAAATTTGTTGTCCTTTTTCCAGTGTGACCTAATGCTTAGATGTAGGAAGAAGGGGTGGAAGCACTCACCAGTAGAGACGCTGGCCGAGGTAGGGGGGCTCCGGGCTTGCTCTTTCAGAGCCACCACATTGACAATGTATTCCTCCCCAGGCTTTAGTCCTGTCTGATTGAAGGATGTAACATCACTGGGGAGCTGAGCAATCACCCCTCCTTCATTATTCTGGAAGGTGGGAAGAAAGAAGAAGCAGAAAAGGCAAAAGAGAAAAATCACCGGGAGAGAAAAGTGTGGAACATCAATTGTGAATTGTTAATAAAAAATGGCGCCCACATCTATTCCCGTGATGCTGACAGCTGAATGTCTGGAGCCAGGAAAAACTCCCAGCAGACTCAGTAAGAATCTTACTGCTCTATGAGGATTTGGCAAATGGAGAATCAACTTTCAAGAACATTTCTTTGGCCTTCCTTGAGTCTTTTGAGTTTGCCAATAAAAATTGGTCATGAGGTAATGTGGATTGACTCTTGTCAAAGATTCCGTATTTGATGGTTACGGTTAACATCCATCAGATTTGGGGGCATTTATTATGATGAGCATGCCCTTGGCTATTTAGAAGAGTGAACTTGTGTCTGCGTATGCCTGTGAATATCTATCTTTATGTATATATACAACATTTTTCAAACTAAGACATTCACAGTTTGTGAATGAGCTGGAACTATTATTTTGCTCTATCTGGAGTTTTCCACACTGTTACACTGGGTGCAAATCTGTCAGTGTCTTTTTTTTTCTTCATCCAGATGAGTTAGGAGTCAGTGACACAACCAGCTAGGAAGTACAAAGAAGAGAAAAAAGAAGCATGGAACAAAGAATAACACAAAGGAGAAAGGAAAGAGACAAATTGGTGGAAGAGGAAATGAGAAGGATTAACTTGATGATGTTGGGTCCAGGATCATCTACCTACCTACCTCTCCATCTGTCTGTTATTATACATTTTCTCTGTGTGTCCCTGGAAATGGAAGGGATGAGAAGACTCTTTTTGTGTGACTGCCCTTCTTCCCTATTCTTTGGACTCTGTTTATGTCACCCAGAGTGCCCTATATGTAATTTATAACCATACCCATAAATCACTGTAACACATGCCCCTCTGCACCCCCCTCCCCACCCCACCCCCAACCAGTGCCTACAACCTACAGATCACACAGTGGTCGTGTGTTTGACCTTGGCATGCCCTGGCCAAGGCCTTATTTAGAATTTTACATATTAGATGTAAAATAGGCCAACCTAGCATAGTTTTTTTTCCTGCCTCAGCATCAGGGTGATAGGATTCTCTCTGCCCTGTTATACACCCAGTTGCCTACCATACTTTAGTGGCCATTTCAGTGCAGATAAGACATATAAGAAGGTATTTGTACAGAATGCCTGTTCAGATGTATTTAGCTTGCCATGACATGACTCTATCCACATAGAGAGGGGAGTCTTACTATAGTGGACAGAACCCTGGAGCCCTGGGTTCTTGTGTTAAGCCTGCCACCAACCAGCTATCTGATGTTGTTTACGTTTGCTGAGTCTTAGTCTCTTTAAACTAAACAAACTCAATGGAAAATGAAGGGTCATACTCTGTGAACTTGAAGGTCTTTGGTAGCTCCAACAGTCCATGCCTAGAAGAATTTTGAAGTAAAATAATGGTGAGATCACTGTCTTGTTATCCAACTATGTGTCATCTGTCATTAAGTCTGATGAATGACTGGAAAAATGCTATTTGATATTGAAAGATGAAGATGAGGTAAGGCCTATGATTAAACATTACACTCCCATGAGTGGTAGAGTTAGGGAGAATATCAGTAGGGCCAACAAGTTCTGGAAAAGCAGAACTAGGCAGGCGCCTCTGGCGACTTGGAAAAATTAGTTCTAGATTAACACAATAAAATGCTACTTTAAAGAATAGAAAGGAATTGGGATACTTTTAACTCAAAAACTAGTAACATAATTTGTTTAAGGACAAATTTTCTCAATTAATAGGTTACAAAAGGTATTTTTGTGTTATGCCTCAGACCTTTAGAACCTGGCCATGCAAGCTGACTTTTGGTATCTTCTGCACAGAATGAAGCCATGTGACTGATTCAGTCTGGCTTTCTTTATGTCCTAAAGAAAAGCCCCAACATTTTGAAGATTTGGTTTTTAGACTTGCTAAAATCATAGCTTGCCAAACCCTAGAGCTTTCTGAGCAGAGAGCTGGGCCTGGTGGCTGCTTCCCACATCCTGTCTTCCAAAGCCAGGGTGTGGGGCTCAGGGCCACTCTTGCTAGTCAGTCCAACATGCCTTTGTGGAAGAGATGTTCTATAGCCCAGACACCACCAAAGATCCCTTTGCATCCTTAGCCACATGAAGAGAGACTTTGGGTAGCACCGTCCTTGCAGCCCCTTATTCCAAGTTGAGGGTATAAATACTCCAAATGAGGCTGTTTGGTAGTGTCACAGGTGGACATTACCTTTGGAATGAAGCTGATCTCCCACCCATCGAAGGAGAATGAGAAGGGCTCCCACTGCACTTCCACGGTGGTCTCTGTGATGGTCTTGAAGTGTAGCCCTTGAGGAGTGGAGAGATCTGGAACACAGCAATGTGGGTGACCATGTCATGGCTATCCCTGGCAGGGACAGAGAGCATCACCTGGAGCTTTGCCTGGGTGCCATCCCTCCACAGTTTGGGTGCGGTGGGCAATCCCAATCTTATTGCAAACATGAGGAACCCAGGTGAAGGATTGGCCCACTCTGTCGTGGCCCTGGTGCTGCTCCATGTTGGTGATACCCAAGTGAACCTAACAAACATAATCTAATATATAACTTTTTTAATGCTTTCTATTCCACCATAGGTTAATATTTAAAAAAAAAAAAAGAAATGACCTTTCCTTTCCTTACTAATGTGGCAAATCTTGGTATTTAATACGATGCCTTTCTCAGAGAATTGAACACTATCTTTGGAGGCTCTAAGGATTCCTGAAAGGCAATAAAACATTCCCATTTCACACCCAGGAAGAGGGAGGCACAGAGAGAGTTGGCTAAGGACACAAGCCAATTTCAGAATAAAGACTAGAATGCCTTTCTTGATCATCTGATGTGCAGTCAGAGTATTTAGTTCAGCTCAAATCACCATGTCTAGGATGGTCTAAGATTTCCATTTCGTGTACACAAGGCAACCAAAGACACACACAAAGGACAATGGCAGATCCTGGAATGTTTGCTCTCACTCTACTGTCTCCCTCTTTCCTCCAGTTCTTCGTTATTTGTCTCTTCTCTCCCTCACTTACCTTTGCCTCACTTATCTTGTTTCTCATTCCTTTCTTAATCTCCCCCTTTTCTAACCCCATCCGCCCCCCACACGCAAACACACACACAGGCGCACAGACGGAGGCATGCACAGGTTCAGTGAGGTGGAGGTATGCTTGTCCTAATGGAGTTCCAATTACCAGCCCTGAGATACGACAGCATGACTTTTCTCAGTTCTCCAGGGAGCCCGCTCCCATTTTAGCTTTGCCTCTTGTGGGATATTCCATTGGAAAACTGACAGATTCTCATCCTTCCTGTTTGGAAGCTTCTTCATGCTTCTTGGTTGAAAGGCAGGTCTGATTCTGAAACCACTTGAAGGCATGTCAGGTGAGTTTACATGATTTCGTCCTTGTCACCTGGGAGCTTGCCTAAGGGGATGCCCTGAATTGGCATAATGCATGCCGTGGGGGGATGGAAACTTCATAACTGCTCATGCACGTGCATGAGAGAGGAGACGCCTGGGAGTCGGGCCAGGCACTTGCTGTGGTGACTCATCCCGGAGCAAGGTGGGAAAAGAGGTAGATGGTGACCTGCCTCTCTGCACAATCATCGAAGATATTTAAAACTGGTTCTCAGGCACCAGAGGAATTTAGAAAAAAAAGGTCAAATATAAACAGAGATAATTATAGGCATATTTACAAAGTCAGCATTCATTGGGGGAATCCAGTATTATAACAGGAGCTCTGTCACCTGGAAAGCAAGGGGACGGGATGATTTCTTAAATCCTTTCCTTTCTGCCGGTCCCTATCCTTCCGAGTGCAGTTGAGTCCAAGAAGCCTTCAAGGCCAGCTCTTCTTACTTTGACCTCTCCCTTCTCTGAACTTTCATGGCATGTGTTATCCAAATACTATCTTGTCCCTTGAGACCTACATAAAATGGACTGAAATCTCTTATCCCTTATTTGGTGAGAAGTCCCATTTCCTGACCCAGGGGCTTCTGTTTCACGGTTACTTCTTGATCCAGTTTCCTGCTACTGCTAAAATCTATGTGTGATATAATAAAAAAGTATTTGGTTTTTGTCCCTGGGTTCCTGGCACACAACTCCTAAAACTTTTGGAATCTCTGGAGCGATACGAATATCTATTGTATGATTGTGAGATAACTAGATAGCCTGTTTCCAGAAAAACCACAGCATGATTTAAAAGATCAGAACTTTCAGCCCCATCTTCTAACTTCCAGGGAGAGGAGACGGGTTGGAGACTGAGTTATTTACCAACAGCCAGTAACCTATTCAATCGTGCCTACATAGTGAAGCCTCCATAAAATTCTCCAAGCAACAGGGGTTTGGAGAGTTTCCAGGTTGGTGAAGAGAGGTGCTGGGAGGTGTGATGTATCCGGAGAGGACATGGAAGCTCCACACCCCGTCCCTCCATCTCTTGCCATAAGCATCTCTTCCATTTGGCTGTTCCCAAGTTGTATCCTTGGAAATAAGACAGTACTAGTAAGTAAAGCACTTTCCTGAGTTCTGTGAATTGTTCTAAGGAATTATCAAACCTAAGGAAGGGTTGTGGGAACCCTTTGAATTTACAGCTGATCAGTCAGATGTACCCGTGACAGTTTTGGACCTGTGACTGGCGCCCGAGGTGGGGACAGTCCTGTGAGACTCAGGCCCTAAGCTGTGGGACTGGACACTCACTTCAGGTAGATAGTATTAGAGTTGAATTGTAAGTTGCCTTCCCAGCATCTGAGAGGTAGAGGAGCAGTATTGGAAAGGACAATTTAAGAAACCAGAGGTGTATAAAGAAAAAAAAAATAAGTGCCTTTCTATCTGCTTCTTATTCTACTCCTCGATGTAGCCAATGTTAATACTTGGTATGCAATCTTTTAAAATTTTTCTATGCTTAAATAGAATACATGTAAAATACAGATAGGCACCTATAGGAATTTTCCTCTGTTCTAAATAAAAAAGAAAAACTATTTCTTATGGAGAGCAGTTTAGCTGGCCTCTGTCTCTGTCTTAAGCTCTCTTACTGAATCTTTCAAAACTATCCTCTAGAGCCTCAACTTTTATAATCAAAATAGACTATATTTTGCTAAACAAAAGACCATGAAGAAATTATGCCACCTCTCTATGAAGAGAAGTGGGTGTCGTCAGTGTGGTTTTAAATAAGATTTTTTTTCCCACTCTGCTATACACTTACCATCTGTAACATACCATTTAGCACTTGCTTATTATACGTCCTATTTCATATCTTCTGGTTTTGAATCCCTAACTAGATTCAAAGTCTGTATAAGTCTCATACTTTCTTTGACTTCTAATCAGACTCGAGCTTATAACAAGTCAGAACTCAATAATTGCTTTTTTGTCCTTTTGGTTCTATAATTGATGGGAGCTGCCTGGATTTGGAAATTCTCTTAATCAGAAGTGCCTTTTTAATGATTTACCCTTTTGGGTAAATCGGGTCACGTCGGAAACCCTTCCCCTCAAGAGCAGTGATTATTGCAGGCATCCCTGAAGAATTAAGAAAAGACACTACTATCATGAATGCCCATGATCTCATGTAGGAAAAAAGAAAAATGAAGTAGGATGGGGAAATGTTACGTACGGGTGGCCACCTTGGCAGTGATGGGAAGGCTGAGGATGTTGCTAATGACAGCGTAGACGCTGATGTTGTAGGTGAGACCTGGCTCCAGCTCCGTGATGGTGACACCACTCCAATCTCCAGGTACCCGCTGCTGGAGCTGGAGGCCCCCCAGGGCCGTCGGCTGGTAAGAGATCACATATTCCGTCACTGCCATCGGCCCGTCCCATTCCAGCTCAATGGACCTGTCGCTGATACCAGCCACTCGCAAGTCCTCTGGAGGGGCAACTACCGGGAGGCAATACACAGATAGCATGAGCTCAGGGGACTGCCTTCCCCATCCTGGACTCAACTTTCTTCCTCACATCTCACCCCACACACCCTGTCCGTATGTCCTGCTCCGCTCACTGGCTTAGAGTGATCTGTAACTCCTTCTGTGGACAGGTTCTTGTCTTTTCTGTGCTTAGTACTTCTCTCTCCATAGGGCCATGAGCTAGCGGTGTGCCGGACCAGCTCTTGCTAGCTTGTGAAAGTTGAACGTCAAATTTTCAGGAATTTTTCAAGACTGTTGTTAAATACAGCCATCATTAAAGATTAAATTGTATAACGTACAGTTAAGTAAATTGTATTAAAGACAAAGGGAATAAATACTCAAAACTCATCACTTTCAAATTATTTCACGACATTTTACCATTATCCATGCCCTCGAGGTAATTCACGTGTGTCGAACCTCTCTGGTGGAAATACTATAGAACTGGATTCTACTGCACAGCTCTTCCAGACCCCTGTTGAGTAGTCTGAAATTGGCCATGGAAGGAGTAGTTCCACCATGGAAACTGGCAAATGCTATAAAGTAAGGTTTTTAATTTTTTCCCTCAGAGAGCCAGTTGTTACATATTTAATAGCTCACCAGTGGCCAACATTTTTGGTAGTTAAATAAGCCTATGCCATCAAATTACCTTAGGAACCCATATTTGATTTGGCAAGTGGGAATAAAAGCTTATTCCTGGTTATCTTGCAAAATATGAGAAGCCAAAACAGTAAGTCCTGGATGCCATGGCCCGATGAAGATATTCAATAACCCTTTATTGTATTATTCTCCTCTTAAAAAGAGACTTTTTAGGTTTTGAAAGAAATGTAACTTGTGTTAGACTAGTTTTTATTAGCCTTGATCTTGGGGATGATGACAAGCATTCTTGAGGGCTTATTTTTCTCTCTTGTTCCACGTCTCAAATGTTACTCAAAGTATCACCCAAGAATAAGCCTCAGTGAAGTAGCCTTTCATGTATGGTTCCCTTAGGAAGTGAAGATTCACCAGGAGTGTGGGTATTAAATAATTGAAATTTTAAGACCCATTGGGAGGCTAACTCCAGTGTGCTTGTCATTGCACCTGCCCAGAGATTAAATCAAAAATTGGGACAATATTGAAATAGTCGTAACTAACTTATAAATTTACATGTGGTGAAGATGTTAGTTTAAGAGTCATCACTGGCTTTGAATGTCTCCTCTGAATGTCCTCACTCTTTCACCTTCACAAGAGCATAGGACTGAGCCAGCTGCTGTTCACAGACTGTGTGAGTGGAGGAGAGCCCCTGTCCTCTCTGTTCTGCTCACACTTGTGCCTTCAAATCCTCGGCAGAGTCAGAAATGACAAGCCCTCTAACTCAGACTCATGGGATGGAAATTAGGACCATATATTTGCAGTGCTGGGCATTTGCTTTGACTGCTTTTGCCCCAAACCATTCATTGTATAAAACAGTCTAGAAAGGAGAGCTCGCTGTGATTAGAGATGGCAAATGCTGACTGAAACAAACAAAAATTAAACATTTATTTTTTAAAAAAAATTTAATTTATAAAACTAAATATATGTAAATGAGATTTAAATAATTAAACTTCAAACTATCATTTATAAGCATATATCATTTCTAATTCTGACATTATTAAAACTCTGAACTGCACTAAGATCTTTGGGATAGCCTGGCCCCTGGACTGAGGGAAGGTGAGTTTATATATAGAATCTGTCAGTACTTTGCATGATTCTACTGAGCATTTACTGTACACCAGGCACAATGCCAACCACTCTTATGTGGACTGTCTCGTTTTGTCCTCTCACCAATACTATGAGATAGGTATTATTATTACCCCTATTTTATAGATGAGAAAACTGGCTCCCATAGTCAGCAAACACAGAAGCAAGGATTTCAACCAGGCAGGATGGCTCTAGAACCTCTAAGCCAGTGAACAATACCACTTCACATTTGCACAGCATTTCACAGTCTATAAAACATGTTCAGACACACCATCTAAATGAAATGTATAAAGTCCTTTAATGGCCGCCCTATGAGGTAGATTGGGGTAGATATAAATATCCCAACTTTACAAATGGAGAAACTGAGATCCAGGTTAAGGGACTTGCTAAAAGTCAGGGAGTCGGATTAGAATTGGTTCTCAAACCCAGATCTTCTACACTTAGTGTTCGTTCCCCTACAATTTGTAGGACAGGTTATGAATTGTGCCCGATGCCTTTTTTCATTTATACACAGCCATCTAAAGTAAACTACAGTGAAGGAGAGTTCAGACCATTCTTTAAGATATGAATTCCAGACTGGTGCTTATCCTAGAGGTAAGAAACTTATTTTAAAAAGGATTCTCTACTGCCTGCCTCTTGTGATTCAACCAAAATGATTCCAAGTTTCCTAAGTGGGCCTTCTCCTGTCATAGTCAAAGAAATGGCCATTCCAAATTTCAAGTCATCAACAACTCCTACGGCACTTGGGACAAGTCAGTGTATTTCTTTTTGGTTCCTTCTTCCAGAAAATAAAGCTAATAAAGATCCAAGCAGAGAACTTTGGGATTTTAAAGTAAGAAGGGAGTGTAGAAGGATTTTTTATCTTGACGGCTTAACTTGGCAAATTTTTTATCTTGAGACCTGAGCTTGGTGGTAAACACCGCCTTCACTTGTGATGATAAAGCAGCAATGGTGTTGTTTGTGGAGGGAGTACTCTTGGGGGCCGTGGCTCAACGGAAGAAGCCACGACCACCGGCACTTGCCTTATAACAGCAGCTGTGTACATTGGGTGTCAGTAATTCTCATACGATGAAATGATACTGAACTATTAAAAGAGACTGTAGAAGAGCCATATGCCTTGATTCAATGAATTGAGGATGGAAGCAAAGTATTCATAGTCTTACTTTCTTTGGGGTTCCAACTTTGAACTTTGGGGAAGAGCAAGCAGTTAAAAAGGAATACAATATGACTTGAAAGATTAAAGTTGCTTTATCTGCGAAGATTCCACGCTGTTTACTTTTTAGATCCTGCCTCAGTTGTGCACATATGTGCTGAGAGCAGTTGGAACCAGTTCCACAAAGTGTCTTGCTCCAAGGAGCGAGTAATTTCAGGTGCCAAAGGTTGGGCTGGCTGCAGTGCGGGCAGAGGCAGAGGCTGACGTTGATGGATCTCCACAGGTCTGACTGAAGTCCAGGGAACAGCAATCTGGATTGTTTCAAGTCCTGCTCTGGTGGTTCTTTAATCCTGCTGACTCATAGGGAGTTTTGGCCAGTTCAATGGACAGATCCTGTGCTAACCTCCTTCACTGGGGACAGATGTGGACAAATAGTTTGACGTGGTTCTCTCCTCCACCTCTAATGCCTTTAAAAAAAAATCATTTGACAGGGCTCGGCTTTCCTATCAAAAGACTATTTCTTTGTGTATGTGGCTTTTACAATTTTTATTTTTCAATTCCGCTCTACTTAGCATCCCAGAGAGGATTAAAGAGTGCTAGAAGTTGGTAGGAGACCAAGGTTCTCATTCTTGCTCCACCATTAATTAGCGGTTTGGCTCTGGAAAAATCTTTCTGTCTCTCTGGACTGCTGCTTTTTAAATTTGTAAAATGAGAAGCTCAGTGTAGCTTCTTTCTATGGCCTGTTTTGAGTGTTCATATTCATGACTTTTTCGTTCTATTATCTTTACATGGCCAGAGAACAGAGGCAGGAAGGTTGGGATTTTGTCCCGTGGCACACTATGAGCAAAGATCAAGGCTTGGAGTCAAATGCAGTGGCCCTGTCGATGCTATTCGGTTGTATCCAAGCTCTGGTGGTCTCGGGGGCTCAGAATGAAGCCCTCACGATGGGCAGCTATATGCCGTGGCCTTGCCAAGGAGAAAAGAAGGACTCGTGCAGAGGTATATTTTGTGGTTCTCCATGATTTCACCTTCCTTATTCTTCTCTCTCCTGTCCTCACTCCTGCTGACAAGGGAAGCAGTGACACCGTGGTGTGTGCATCTGGCCAGAAATGTCAAACAGTGGGTAAATAGTCCCCTCTCCCACAGCCTTCTCTCAAAGAGCAAGCAAAGTAGCACTTTAGATAATGACCTAGATACTTCTCTGGAGGAGACCTGTGGTGTTCGGTTTAAAAGGCAGGCATTGAGAGCAGCACCTCCTGCAATGAGTGGTGGCTCTGGGGTTGCTATAGAAACAGGTGGAGGTTATGCAACTGTCCTTCCTCACATGCTTCTGGAACCTGTAGAGTAATTCATCTGGGCCTCCCGAAATCTTCTTCAAACAGCACAGAGGTAATGTGTTGGAGGTAACATGGGTTCACAGTTTGGACTCCACCCAGTTGTGGTTATGCCAGCAGCGGCTGAGTCTTCCCTGAGTGACCAGGTGGGTTTATCTCCAGTTCAGTCTGGATCCAGAATCAGATTAAGATTTTGCTTGCAAATGGACCCATTCTTGTAGAAAAGCAGGGTCAGGAATATGGCAGGTTTATATATACAAACAAAGGTCTCTATTCTATTAAGAAGCAGGTAGACTACAGAATAGCCATCCAGAACAATGGCTCAAGCTGACCCTTAGCATCCTCTGCCCCTCATGAAGCCTCGTCCTGTGCCTGGAACCCAGGGCCATGCCTCAACCTCCCCTTGCCAGCAACTCCCTTGTGACTTTGGATTCAAACAAGTCTTCATGTAGTGACGAGGCTTAACTTCTGCTTGAATTTTCCTTTGGAACAATTGGTATAACAACTATATGTGTTTTTAGAAAGACATTTCAGTTCAGTAAACAAAATTGGGATGCTAAATGAAATAACAATATGGAAAAAAATGAAGGAACGTGAAAAGATTTTTTTTCCTAAGCAGTGCGTTACTGTTTTTTTTTTTTTTTTTTTTTTTCATTATTGCCATTGATCTTTTAAAAGAATTTAAGTTGAAGTCATGGGTGCAGGGACCTTGTCGGATTGGTCTGCTTATCTAGGGGGGGATCACTGGCGATGCTAAAGAACAGAAAGCTAATGAAGCTGACTTCCCAGGAGACAACCCATCAGAAGGTCTAAAGATATTTGATTGTTGTAGTTTTTTATTTTAAATCCTCCCAGTGGGCACTCTGAACCCACTGTTACAGACTCAATCATAAACGGAAAGGATCAAGATCAATCACATAACCTGATACACAAACAAAACTTATCAGCAAGAGTCACTGCTTCAGTCAGAAAAAGATGAACAATAACAGTGAAATGATGAAAATCATCTAATTTTAGGTAAAAAAAAACCCAACTCCAGTGAGATATTAATATTTTCCACTCTGCTGGATTTAAATCTTCATTTCAGTATATCACCTTTGTATCCATTTCCACAGCGTTAGACTACGTATGGGGTGGGTTCCAATTTGCTCAATGTCATCCGGAGCAAAATGAGTCACAGCCTTTTAATATTCCGTACTAATTGTTAGAATGTGAGTTGCTGCTTGATGACTTTAGGACTTTATTACTGTTTGCATTTAATTCCTTGCCTATAAATGCTTTTTCTTTTCCGTGTGGACACTAGATCGTTTCATCAATCAGTAAGCCCATGCAATATGTAAGTTATGAAATAACCAGAGCGCCTAGCTAGTCTGTTTATCACAGACCAAGCACCTCTTGTGCAGTAGCATTGGAAAAGGTCATGTCCCTGGAGTACGGCAACAGGCAAGGGGGATACCTGGGGGCAGGTGGAGCTCTCAAAAGCCCCCTGAGCTAGAGAGTGGCCTTGCCTAAGGTAGTACCATGGCGTGACTCTCTGCTTTCCTCCACCGCAAGGACAGTGGAGTGCTGTCACTGTTACTAGCACTGGCCCTGCTCAGTCTCAGCTTTCAGCCTAAATTTGACCTTTTATGGTGTCTGTCCTTTCCTCCTTAAGTCCACCTCATCAATTGGGACCGACTCAAGAAATCGGCTCTCTTGGAAAGCAAATGAGCACAACCCATTTGGGAATTCGTTTCCACGAAGTACACCTTCCCTCCCATCTCTCTTTCCACCTCTGATTAGTTTGCCAAACACCTTACGCAGCCCCCCTTTCCTACCTGCCGAGCAGTCAGGGCCCTGGTAGCCGTCTTCACAGAAGCAGAGCCCCTCCTGGCAGTGTCCTCGCCCGCTGCAGGCGTTCAGACACCGCCGCTGACTGCAGTCGTCCCCCACGTAGCCCTCCTGGCAGAAGCAGGTACCATTGGCACATCGCCCCTTCCCCGAACAGTCCCCGGGGCACCTCAGCTCGCTGCAGTCCTCGCCTGTGTAGGGCTCTTCACAGACACACTCTCCATCCACGCAGAGCCCCCGGGAGCTGCAGTCTGTCGGGCACCGCAGCTCGGAGCAGTCACCCCCGCTGTACTCGCTGTCACAGACGCACTGGCCATCCACACACACGCCCCGGCTGGAGCAGCCCAGCGGACAGTAGGGCTCCGAGCAGTTCTGGCCGAACCAGCCTTCATTGCAGATGCAGCCGCAGGACTGGAGGCTGAAGTTGCCGTGGCCGCTGCAGTGAGGGATGTAGTCCAGTTGTCCTGGAATGGTCAAGGAGGAGGTCAAAGGGCAGCAGTGGCACCTCCTGTAAGTGGCACACGGGGAGGGGTGCACAGAGACTTCTCGCTCTCTGGTCAGATTTGTGTGGCTGACAGTCAAGCTCAACCTAGTTTGGTACATATCCAATTTTGTAACTATTTTCACCTAATCTGGGTTGCCTGTGTCTAGCATAGTGCTGAGGGCAAGGATGAATGAGATCTGGCCCCTTGTCCTCCAGGAGCTCACCTTCAGTGTGTCTTAGCTTGGGTTCCCTAGAAGTAGACCTTGGATGAGAACTCAGGTCAAGGGGACTTACTAGAAAGTGCTCCCAGGAGAAACTGGTCAGGGAGAGGGGGAGATTGGGGAGGGAGGAGCCCAAGCCAGGGTGCGTTAACAGGTGAGGTCCCAGGGAGGATAAACCAGGTTTAATCCTGCAGGATGCTCTGGCCACAGTGCAGGTCACACCTACCCATGGCTTAAGGGCAGTCCTGGGGTGGTATAAATGTTCCAGCTCTGCCCTTGTCTCCTCGGGCAGGCCAAGGAGGTTCCCTCAGCTCAAGGATGGTCCCTGACAAAGATGCCCAGGAGCTGGCTGTGGGGACTGATGGAGACCCAAGGGGATGTAGACTGAGTGCTGAGTCTGCTATGCAGGGCAAGATCATATGTGCTACAGACCCATCTTGCTTCCTCTCCTTCCTGCCATCTAGCTAACTTGGCTCATTTATCATAACTCAGCACCAGGGTCACTTCTAAGGCTTCCCAGAACTTCAGCCTCATTTAGTTACTCTTTGCTATAATGTTTTTGGATTCTAGGCATATCTCTGTCCTAGCCCTTACCACACCTTAACTACAGGGGTTAATTTATCTGTCTAGCATGAGTCAAATACACTAATAAAGCAAACATGAGCCCAGTACCTGCTTGGCATCCTTCTCTGCACTTGGCTCTGAGGAGATGAAGTCAAGCAAGTTATATCCTTTTTTAATTCTGCCACTTTACCTGGCCCCGTGGTCTGAAAGGACACCAGGCTGACATTGCTTTAACATAGTTCTTGCTCGTGGATGTTTCCATATCTGCCAGGGAGCCTGATGGGAGGCTGGAAGAAAGCCCACTCAGAAGCTACTGGCTTCCTGGGCAGCGAAGAGTTCATGTGCACGGACACCAATAACATCCCTGTATTCCTCCGCTCTGCTGAAAAGGCAAACTGGCCTGAAAGTTCTCACTGAAGAATGGGAAGAACTAGAAGAATGGGAGACGGAACGACTGGGCTTTCTCTTCTTCACATTGTTTATTTATAGTTTTGGTTATGAGGATGAGAAAGAGGTGAGAAAACTTGTGAAACATTTCACCATGCAGAAACTGCCCCTAATTTTGGTGTGTCTCAGGATGAACATGTCTGATACCCCTCTGGACATGCAGGTCATCCATGCCCTGTTACATGTCATCCCTGCCACCTCCCGCCTCTGCCCCGTGAAAGCCTTGAGACACCAGACCCTACAGAGGTGAAAACTGGAACCCAAGGTAGTAAGACGAATCCCTTTTCTCATTAAAGAATGAATGGCATGGGTCTAAGGTATCTTCTGGGTGAGAGGACTGAGCACAAAAGGGGACTCACACAATTTCTATTTATTAAGGGTCAGCTGATAGCTGTTGAATACATGGTGCTTACCAGAAGTCAACCTTTCATCTGAATAGCCCAAATTTTATATGTAATAATCCCTATCATTGTAGTCTATCAGCATCTTTAGGAGGGAAGGAAGGCATGGGTTATGTAGCTTGCTTAAGTACCAGCTAGTAAGTAGCAGAGCCAGGATTTGAACTCAGGGAGTCTGGCTCTGAAGATGTAATGACTTCTCCCAGAGAGGTCAAAATAGTAATCGCTAAGTGTTTCTAGTCAGGGGGTGGGAGAGGCGAGAGGTAAATCTCCTGGACCCTCAGCCTTTGGGGGCATGGAATCAGTTCTGCAAGTGTGTGTGAGTCCAGGCGAGCGTGCATGTGAGCAGGTGCTTGTGTGTGCATGCGCACCCACGCGTGTGTCTGTGGATGGAGCTGAAACCTCCATCTTGCGGGAGAAGATGGGGACAGGTCCTCTGAGACCTTAATGACTATCATTTACTCAGTTGGGAGAGAGGCTGTGGCTGAGCGAACAGAGCGCCTGCGTTCTCTAGTCCCTGAGGTTAACATGGAGAGGTATCAATTCAACAGCCTGTGAAAACTAAAGATGAATGAAGACAGACACCAAATTCCCTGCTCGCCATAGAAGTTGCTGCGCTGAACCGATGTACCATTACCTGACTGATGCCCCCCAAATCAGGTTAATGTATTTCAAACTGGCTGAGCAGTGTAGAGAATCCCTGCCCCTATTCCCCCGGGAAGGACCGCGTTTAGATCTGAGATGTAGTAGCGGAGACCTGCAGACGAGCAGACGAGCGACGAGCGCTCAGAGGAGCGCACTTTTCCTTCCATGCGAGGAGGAGGTGCAGGATTTCGCGGGAGGGGCTGCCCCCCAGCGCACTGTCCCCCCCGCCTTCCCCCCGCGTCTCGGCCGCCCCTGCGGGACCGAGAGCTCCCAGCCCCTACCTGTGGCTGCACTTTCTGGGCAGCAGTTGCTGGTGCACTGGTCCCGGAGCAGCGACACCTCCCTCTCCAGCATCTCGATCCGGCTCAGCAGCTCCTGCAGCACCCGGGCCGAGCCGGCACACGGGCAGGCCTTTTTGGGGAGGTTGATCCTGTGCGTGAAGGTGACCTGGCTCTCGTGGTCTGCGGTCTGGCCCGTGTACTCTGCCAACGCCTCGTCTTCGGCACTCACCTCCTGCTCGGCAGAAGCCTCCAGCCCGGAGGAGCAGAGGCTATCCAGGGGCACGTTAATGTTGTACACGTGGTTGAAGACCATCGGCTGCTCTTTGCCCGATGCGTTGTATTTGGCCACCCTTCCTTGCTCCTCCACCACCTGTCTCTGGACTCTTTCTGTGGTGACCTCCAGCTGACACTCGGAGGGCTTGAGCAGGGAGCCCAGAAGGATCAGGTTGACACCAATGAGCATGTTCTTCAGGACCACCGTTTCCCCGTCCACCCCCATCCTCTCAGCCAGAGCTCTGGGGTCAAGACCAGCCTGCAGCGCACAGCGTAGAGTTGTGGGAATCTGCAAGAGAAACCGAGGAACCAGATGACCCCTGAGAGCTGTGCGGAGCACCATGGCTGGGCATAATCCTACAAAGCTAAAGGATAGGCAGTTAAGATTTTCCACAGGGAGGCTGGGAAGGGACAGTAGCTACCAGGGTCACAGAAGCCCAGAGCTTTGCCCCCAAGAGGGATGGATTCCTGAAAATGGACACCACTTCTGCAGAAGGACATTTTGATTTCCCAAAAGGCTTACCTAGAATGCACGTTTCCAAGCCCCATGGTGGGCAATTAGCCCCAACACAGAGGACCTGTGAGGACTGACGACTGGGGCTTGGTGGATAGGCTATTCCTCCAAGGAGAGCTCAGAGCTTCCTTTCACGTCTGGGTGAGAAGGGTACGACAGAGCCTCAGGCTTACCCTCATATTTTTCCACATATTTATTAGCAAGGGGCCCTACCAGCCACTTCAAAATAACTTATTAACTCCTCTAAGCTCATGTATTCAATACGAGTTGACTTTAGAATAACCAACCAGGAAGATAATATAGTTCCAGGTAATTGTGGTTGTTAATAATCCTTGGGTACATTTGTGATTATCGGGCACTGTGTGAGTCGAGCTTTCTTTTAATCTTCTCATTAGTTTAGTCCCGGTGCTTTGTGACCACAGGGTGCCTTTCTTCTGAGGTCCTGTTTAAATTGCTAAAATAATGAATTAGCTCCTCTGCTGATTACCTAGTCACCAAAACCCACCGAGGATGATAAATGTACTGTAATGCAAATCAGTTTTACAGAAATTATATTTCTTTTTTATTCCCTGTGTAAAAGAGGAGAGAGACTTACAAACTTTGGTTTTAAGGGTAGTGTTAGAGCTTCTAAGAAGATTAAGGATGGAGGGATGGAGTAAGGCTAGTTCTGACTCAGAGAAGACATGAATGATGGCTAATGCCTACTGACGGTGCTCGGTGTCCAGACAGCATTGTGTACCTTGCACATGATATTCCTGGCCCTTGGGACAGCCCTAGGAGGGGGCCTGGTGATTATCCCCATCTCATGATGGAGGCAATTCTTCCTGGAGAGGTTAAGATTTGAATGCAGGCTTGACAGACTTTCACAGCCTGAAATCCTGTGTTCCTAACTGCTGTGCTGTAGTCCTTTTCTTGACAAGCATGTTCAATTTTCTGTTGTCTCTGATGGCAGTTGTGTTAATTCTAGGATCTACCTGGGAATATTGAGATTAGAAAGTTTTGCTAGGGTCAGATCCAATGTTCTTTCCTCCATGAAGCCTTCTCCTCTCACCTTTTCCTTCCTGTCCCTTCATCTGCTCTCCCCAGTGAGGCGAAGTTAAGCCCCTCTGACAGCATTTGTCATGCTAGACCTGTGTCTCCTTTGCCTGGTTCTCCCCACCTGGACTGCTAAATCGATTCTGGTCAGACCACGTCTTATCTGCAGCATTTGACATGTGCCTAGGGCAGCAGAAGTGCTCAGTACGTGGCTGTTGGATGAATGAGTGGATGCTTGGAAGGATGAATAAACAGATGAATTAATGAGTAAATGCCCAGTGAGCAAAGGACTGAATCATTCTCAAACTTATTTGATCTCTTTCCATTATCCTCAGGTTATTCACTATTCTTGTCCCTTTCAGTTCAACTGGACAATGTCTGAGGGTCGATTTTGGTAGGAGTAATCTGTATTACTAGTATAAAATCCATGTCTCATTACTCAGCCTTTATGTTATATATTGGACCATAACTGGATATGGTCCCTGTTTCCAATATGAAGAGGAAACAGCGGAGCTGTTAAGATCATGGCACTGGAGCCAGACTGTCTGGGTTCAGACCCAGCTCCTTCACTTTCTAGCTGTAGGTAGATCATTTAACCCATTTCTCTATCTACACAATGGGGATTATAACAGTATGTGCCTGTAGTAGTGATTTTTGATGTAGTGAATTATACTGATGATTGAGTTATTAATACCTACCTAGTACCTGGCATTAACTAAAATAAATACATGTGGTTTGCAGACAAGTAGAATAATTGTTCTGATTCTTCCCCTACCCAAGGACTGCCCTGAAATCACTGAAGCATGCGAGAAGTCTCATCCATTAGTGGGCAGCGGGAAAGCCCAAACTTAGCATACCTTTGTTCGAACAAGGGTAGGTTCTTAGAGTAACGTGGGAGGTGGCGATCCACTGACCACATCCAGATGAGGTAAATCAACCTCAGGGATAGATGGAGTGACGTGCCTGAACCAAATTGACTTCATGGCTGTCAACTCTTCCCAAGGCCCTCAATCTAAGGTGCTACTGATTCTCCATTTCCAGGTACCTAACCATTGCCTTCTTGGAGGGTCACTTCTGCCCCTTCTATCACTGAAAGCTCCCCAGGAACGGCTCTGCTATCAGTCACTGACACTTATTCTCACACTGAAGGCTGAGGAGACTTAGCTATCTCTTTTACTCAACTAACGTTGGTTTGTCTGATGCATGTTGCTATTGTCGAATAGCTTTTTTTATTTTTAAACCCAGGAACTGTAAAATTATCATGCAAAACCCATAGCATGTAATGTAGTTTTTTTTGCACATAGTTGACACTCAATAAATAAGTGAAAGAATAAATTATGTTAAAACTGGAAAGGAAGACAAGTGATAGGAAAATTAAGAAGGAAAAATGTCAGGTCCTACACTTAGATCCAAAGCAACAACTACAAAAGTATCTATGGAGAGAAAGGTTTAGCTTTCTCTGAACAACACTTAAGATCCTAGTCAATAACCAAACTTACTATGAGTCAGTTGACAGCATGATATTTGTAACCTCCAAAATCTTATTTAAATTTAGGTTTTATGAATTAAAATACAGAATAAAGGAGAAGCAAGGGGCTGTTTCACTCTGTACTGCACTGATCATTGATCACTTCAGGGTGGCCAGGATGTTGAAGGGACTCAGTCTTGTCATACGAGAGGGAGGAATTTGGCATTGAACCCAGAGAAGCAAAGACTCAGGAGGTACACTGGTTCCTTTTTCATTCATTTGACAGATATTTATTGAGTACCTACCATATGCTGGTTCCTTCATTCACAGAAGTTGCATTCAAGTGTGTTTGCACGTGTGCGTGTATGTGTGTGTCAGGGGGAGGACAAACAATAAGTTGTAAAAATAATCGTGTGCAGGTATCTCTTGCTTTTTGAGAGTTTGCATTATGCCACCTTGCACTTAGGAGAGACCTATATTAGTTCTGCAAAGGGTTTTCGCATTTAGGAAATTGGGCAAAAAGCAAAAATAGTGTTCAGCATTGATTCTGCAGTGCACCATGATAGAGGTGGTGCATACCCCAAGCAGCGAGAGGGGTGCTGCCCTGCTCCTTCCTGGGGACAACACTCAGCATCTCATCATCGAGTCGTGAGAGGTTTGAACTGTGTCTGTGAGCATCTGTGCTTTATCTCATTTTATTTTGGGCATCCATTAGCAAAATGTGTCCTAAGGTATTAGAAAAGCCCAACAGAGGTTTTTTTTGGGGTCTTAGAAGGCTCAAAAACTTTTCCACATAAATTAATAGTACGTGCTTCTTCTCTTTATGCCATTTCAACTTATGAAAGCTTTCATAGGGACACTTTACTTCCAGATAGCAGGGAAACCTGTATATCATATATAATGTATCATATAAGGCATAGTATATGGTATTTAATGTATGATGATGTAACATTCATTTGTGTGTGTTTGTATCAGCAAGTGGCAAATGGAGGAGAATAAAAGATGAGGGGCCAGGGCGCTAACAGGGCAGGAGGAGTAGGGCATGGTCAGGGTAGGATTCTTTGAGAAAGTGACAGCTGAGCAGAGACCTCAAAGAGGTGGAGTGGTGAGGGCGCCTGGGTGGCTCAGTTGGTTAAGCGACTGCCTTTGGCTCAGGTCATGATCCTGGAGTCCCTGGATTGAGTCCCGCATTGGGCTCCCTGCTTGGCAGGGAGCCTGCTTTTCCCTCTGACCCTCCCCCCTCTCATGTGCTCTCTCTCTCTCATTCTTTCTGTCTCAAATAAATAAATAAAATCTTAAAAAAAAAAAAAAAGAAGTGGAGTGGTGAGCCAAGCAGATGGCGGAGGAACAGCATTTCAGAGATAGGGAACAGCAAGTGTGAGGGCTCTGAGGCAGCAGCAGGACTTCGAGGAACAGTTTGAGGAACAGTGAGACTATGGCCAAGCAAATGAAGGAGCAGATGTGGGGAGATGTCAGAGAGATAGTGGGGCCAGGTCAGATATGGTCTTGTAAACCACTATAAGGACTGTCTTTTATTGTAGTTATATGGTCACTCTTCTAAATGCATCCCCAACCAAATACTTCTTACGACCCAGTCCCTATTCTTTTTTTTTTTTTTAAGATTTTATTTATTTATTTGAGAAAGATAGAGCATGAGCAGGGGGAGGGGCAGAGAGGGAGAAGCAGCTCTCCACTGAGCAGGGAGCCTGACGCGGAGCTGGATCCCAGGACTCTGGGATCATGACCTGAGCCCAACGCTGACGCTTAACCGACTGAGCCACCCAGGCATCCCCCTAGTCCGTATTCTTGAGAAACTCTCGGTTTTGTGGAGAAGATGAAAACACAATAAATAGAATAACAGTGCGATGTGATAATTATGATGACCAGCACATACACAGAATGCCCAGAGAGGGCTGCAGGTGGTATGACTCAGTCAGGGGTAGCAGGGACAGCTACGCAGACGGTAGCATAACTGGCAGTGCCCTTTGCCAAGTACTTCTGGCCTGGCTTTCCAGACACATGGTGGGACTACATTTTCTGGCCTCCTTTTGGTTCAGTGCGGCCATGCCACTAGGACTGGCCAGTCAGTTCTGAAGAAGTGATGTGCGTCACTTCCGGGTTGGTGCCTTCAGTGCTGATGAGAAAAACTCCAGAGCTCTCTCCCTCCTGTAGCGGCTAGCAGGGTTCAAGACGGTGGCTACTTTCTCGG